AAAAACCCCCCTTTTGGGGGGCCGTCTACTTTTTTCCCCCTTTTTTAACCCCCCCCCCCCCCCCCCCCCCCCCCAATCATTCCCTGGGCCAATTACACAACTTGCTTATATAAAAGTTTCAACAATCTTTGAAAAAATGTCTATGTCTTTACACCGGCCAGTGGTAAAAAATGCTTATAGTAAATACTAGCAAAAATGATTTTTTTGTGCTTTTCTTTTTCAGTTGTCTGCTTGTTCATGCACATTTCGTTCCTCTTGGCGACTGGGGCATTGTTACAATTTGGATTTGACATATTCCCCATATCATTCACAAGCCTGCCTCTCGAGATACGCGACAACGTAGATTTACTAAGAAGGTATGCCTGGAGCGGCCGTGACGATGACGCTGTGGTGCCTATAATCTCAAGGAGTGGTGGTGCTGCTTCCACTAATGTCAGTGAACGCACGGAGACGGGAGATACTATAACGTTATATTATGAACAGATAGGAGGGAACGTATTTACAAAGGCCAAACTGCTTAAAATCAAGGAAACCGAAGAGCTCTTTCTGAATAATTCCATTTATCAAAGCACTCACTGTAAACTTGATGACACGGGGAACTGTACAGCTTCATTTTCAGTTCTACGATATTTTGATGGGACATATGAAGCTCTTGATCCGGTATTTCTGGATCCAAACTTTAATAATATTCCGGCAGTTTTGGAGAAGGCTCTCACCCATACCGCAACGAAGTCAGTATTCCCACTTTTGCTAGGAAAGAACTACAATATAAACAGTTCTTTAAACATTGCCACGTCAGAAATCACTCGCTCGTTTATATACATTGGTCTCCCCTTGCCAGGGTATGCCAACTCCAGTGACAAAGCAACAGAACAAAATAGAGTAATTCAGAAATTTCTCAGTGATGAATTTTTTCGGGACGTAGAGAGACTTTACGCCAATGGGATCGACGGAATGGACTTCTTTTACTACAGCTCTTCGTTCTTTGAAGTTTTCTTGAATCGCCAAGTTATTGTGGATATGTTACTTGCGATCGGAAGCATGGCGTTCATTTTCATTGTGGTCTGGGTTCAAACTGGCTCTCTTTGGATCACTGGCTGGGCGATTTTAAGCATTATTACCGGTTTTACTTGTGCGAATATGGTGTACCGTATTATAGTCGACTTTAGATATTTCGGAGTGTTCCACGTTCTGGCAATATTCATTATCCTTGGCATCGGAGCAGACGATGTTTTCATTTTCTTTGACACTTGGAAAGCGTCGGGACACCACCAGTATTTGAGCCTCGCCCATCGCCTCTCGGACTGCTACCGAAGAGCGTCGGCCGCCATGTTTTTTACGTCGCTCACGACCGCCTGTGCCTTTATAATTAGCGGAACGTCACCACTGCTCGGGGTTTCATCCTTCGGCGTGTTCAGCGGGATATTAGTCTTAGTGAACTACCTGTCGGTCATCACTTTTCTCCCGGCCGTTGTGATGGTTTATCACGTGTATTGGGAGAAAAAGATATGCTGCTGCTGCGGAACGAAAACACCAACTGTTGCACGCCCAAATCAGGTCGCCGCTTTGGGGGATGGCCCACAGGAATTACCGCAAGCTAGCGACAAACGTCAGAATCCAGTAGTGAGATTTTTCAGGGGTCCATACTTTAGGTTTATAAGCCATAAAGTCTGGCGATGGATCATTCTCCTGGTGATGTTGGGTATCATTGCTACGTTTGGTTACTTTGCAACGCAGATCAAAGTAAACGAAGAGGAGGTAAATCTTTATCAATTATGTTTCCGTTTATGTAAATCTTATAAATTTTATTTTCGGAAATAAAACTGTAACGATATTTTGGTAAAAAAAATGTAGGCGGAGCGATAGACGTCTCCAAATAAAAAATTATCCCTCTCATTCGCATTTTTATTTAGCTTTATTACTAATTAGCCTTAGGGTAAATTATTTGCCACACAGATAGAAACGATAAAAATCTGGCAAAATACACGTATGTGAAATTATTCTAATCTTCGTTCGTAGAAAATTCTAGATATAAAAGTGTTTAAGCCCAATGTTTATCAAATTCAATGTTTAATTTCAGATCAAGTTCCTGCCAGATTCGTCCAACTTTGGCAAGGTGATAGACCGTTCATCGAATGCCTTTGCTCCTAGTGACGTCGACGACAAGATGGTCGTCAACGTTATCTGGGGTCTGCAACCTCAGGATCTTAAATCGTGCCATTTCTCGGATTCTGAATGCGATGGAAAGACTGTCTGGGATGATGCCTTTGACTTGAACTCTGCACAAGCACAACTTGCACTTCAAGTGAGTCTCCACACCGGTATTCCACTTGATGAAAATACTTATTCTATAAATAGGCAAACTTACGATCTTTTAAGTTTAATACTATGGCACAGTAAGGGTTACAAGTACCCTTAAAAGAAACGACCCTAGAATAATTATCGCTGTAGAAAAATTTGTAGCATATATTTATATCAATATTTGCGTTATTATTCTAATTCCAATCATTATTTCAGGCACTTTGTGGAGAAGTAAGAAACAACAGCGTCGCACTAAAGATTCGCACAGATTCTAATGGACAACTAGAACTTGGTTGTTTTCTGGAAGAATTGGTGGCTTTTCTCAAGGTAAACTATATTACAATTCAACGACTCAAAGAAAATGCACACGTTACACTACATGGCACCAGTTAAAAAAATTATAAAAGTAGTTGGGCATAAGGCGTTGTACAAATATGTAAGTGAAGCAAAANTTAACACTGCAGTCGTCTGTTAAAAGTCATATTTGCGGGAAAGTTCAAAAAGCTACAAAATGAATTGCATTTTGTATTTTTTATATACAAGTAGCCTACATGTACCTGTCACACCATCTATACGTAAATAAAAACAATTTCAACCCATTTCTAGGCTGAAGAGAATGCAACTAATCCTTTGACAAGCCTGCCAAAGTATCCTGCTGGCACTACATTCGATCTCCCGTACAATCAAACGAATATTGGCGTTCTTATGCAGTATAACCCACACATGTATAATACCACGGCGTTGGGATCTGGATTCAGTAGATATTTTGAGGTATGTCAGGGATGATGACTTTTTTAAATGAAATCATAACTTCATTTATCTATTTTTTCTTTCAGTTATTTTGTTCATTTAACTCGATCGAAATCACAAACAGATAGCCGTAATTTATAAAGTGCACATTAATGAAATCATATACTTGCATTTGTTTTTGACGTCTTTAAAAAGGCCACGTAATTAAAAATTCGATGAAAATTACATGTGATTTCGTATTATATATCGCGCAACGTGGTTACAATTAAATTTCTTACTCAGAACTATAAGTGTATTTTATGAGCTGTGTTTGCATTGGAAAACTAGAGAAAACAAGAGACCAGTTTGAGTTAGTATCAACATTCAAAAATTAGAGCTATCAGTTAGAGAAACGGATATCATTAAATTTAATTTCTCCTCTCTCAGATTGCGCTGCATTACTGGATATATAGCAGTGTGCTCCAGCCTTCTGCGGCAACAGCGAGTGTTTACAAAATATGGAATGGTAGACTGGGCGAATCTACAACCAACCTCACACAGACGAAGTCTATAGGTGGCAGAGGTAACTCGTCATTTTATCACTTCTTTTGGTTTAGTTCCTGATTACCATACACTATCATACTGTGCATTTTCTAAGACTGTATTACGTGTATTACGAGAACGGTTAGGCCAATACATTATTGATTTTTCTTATATGAATCATAAAACCTCTTCTTAAAACATTCGTTGATCACTGATGCCTTATTTGCTTTGTTTCTAAATCTTCATACTATAAAACAATCCTCCAGATATTAAATACGGCAACCGGTTGAGGTACGCCGCAGCAATCTACGCCAATTTATCATTGTCCGGAAGTAGCCTGGGTTACATCGAAGGTCTCCCGGTTAGGAATAAGTGGGAAGAAGTGATATCCAACCAGGTAAACAATTTGACCATACCTAAAAGGACTAAGAGTCAATTTAAAGCAGTCTCATGTTTCGTCATTTTTTCTAGTGTTAACCAATACAGTTTTGCAACTTAGTATTTAATATTAATACAGCAAAAAGATATTATGTTTCAAGTTGCGTTTTTTTAACCGCGAGGCACGAGAAAGCTCTAGCTTCCAGGTTTTAAATTTTAAATGAATATATTGCTAATAAAGTCATTAATACTTAGGGTAATATGTGGCTTCTGAATTGCTATGATGAAGTTATATAGACAGATGAGTATTTGACACACCCATTTTAGGTGAAAACAATGCCTTCCTCAGTGCAAGGTGGTTTTCAAAACACTAGAACCTGGCACTGGCTGGCGGTCCAAGAGGTAAGGCACTAAAATAGCCTTAAATATGGGTTTGGGTTCAAGGGTTTGAACCAACCTTTATACCGGGAAAGGTCTGAATCAAAATCTAATTACTACGATCTAGGTACTAAGGCATTACATATAAAGGAATAAAAAGATCCACCTTTTTCAGAAGAAACCCCCTTTTAATTTACCGGCTACAGGTCTGGGGCATCTACATTAAATCTAAAAAAATATTTATGCGTTCCAAAAGTGTTTAAGCATTTAGTATAGAATCAAGAATGTGGTCTACTGCTCCCTTTTAAACTTCACTCTTTTATTTCAGTTACTGAACAACCAGGCACTTTTGGGTATTGTTATTGGTGTTGCAATAGCATATCCCATTCTGATCGTCGCGACCATGAATATCATCACCGGAACCTTAGCTGTTCTCACCATCTGTTTTATCACAGCCTCAGTAGTGGGCACAGTGCCTGTTGTTGGATGGAAACTAGGGGTAACAACTGTTGTTTTTCTATACCAAATATCAGTGACCCTTTTAAGGTTTCTTCAAATTCCTTGGTGCTTAAAATTTTTTGATACATGTGTAGGCCTTTTCTTTCTTAAAGTAGACCTACATACATTTTCTCAAGTATTAACAGGCCATTTTAATGGTTATTTAAAATGTAATTAATAAAAATTTTAATAATGTAAACAAGTCCTATAGTGCTTTCAGATGAAAGCAGTTATCCTGATTAAACACATTTTTACGATCTTTAGGTTTTAGAATCTCTCAACTTCGTGTTAGTCGTTGGCCTTGCAGTGGACTATGTTGTGCATTTGGCGGAGGGATATAGCCGTTCAATGAAGCGTGATCGTCTGGGACGTGTCAAGGACATGTTGGAGGAGGTCGGGATATCCGTTTTATCCGGCGCCATCACAACCTTGGGGGCCTCGATCTTTCTGCTATTTGCCTTTATTACATTTTTTCAACAGTTTGCCATATTCATATTTTCTACGATAGGGTTTTCCATCGTTTACGCACTGGGGTTCTTTAGTACGGTTCTAGCCTTGATTGGACCCCAAGAGGATTTCGGATCCCTAAAACCTCTTTGGCGTTGGGTTACTAACAAATGTAGTGGGAAGACTGGGAAGGCCAACATTTCAGAAAAACCTCCGATAAATTCATTGAGTAATGATGTTGTAGAAAATGATATCTTATAAGTATTAAATAAGTGTGGGTGCTTGTCCAAAAGACAGTATTAGGCCTATATAAGGGCGTAGTTTTTCTCATATAAACAGTATTTCATTTAGATGTTTAAAAAGTGAATGCTCAACAGAACACGGTTTGTTAAAGCATTGAAAGGAAAGTAAACTGGCTAAATGAATTTCATTAGAAGTGAAAGCTGTACTTATTTAGGAGTATTTTTATTTTTCTCTGATGCAGTTTGCTTTTCAGTGTGGATTTCGAGTCACAAGATACAATTCAGGAATTGCTTAAGTTTGATGTAAATACATCTGCTCCCTAAAACAGCCTTTCAGTGATAACATAGATGTCTCTCTATAAGACGTTATTTTGCAAAAATTGTAATACACACATATATATTAAAGGGATAAGAACTGTTCGTGTGAGATTCATTTTCAAAATAATAAGATTGTAAAAAAATGAAGTCAGAGATATTAGGCCTATATAGTAAACTTCATTTTACCACCAAAACAGCGGTTATCGCAATTATTCTGGAATCTGTGCTTGCCATCAGACCACTGACCTTTATTGAGGGTAATGCCCCCTTAATTATCTGTTAAGATATTATTACAAAAAAAAATTTTAACCAGGACTAACCTTGAATGTAGGAAAGGATTCATTGGAAAGGGTGGAAAATCGTAGTTTACCCCAGGAAAAATCTCAAAACGAACAGTTGATACCCTTCGTTAGTTGTAATTTTATTATATAGAAACCGTCCATAAGGTGTTAACCTGCAGGAGTTATAATATAAAATAACAAATAAAAAGCACCAGACATTGCCATTTAATTGATTTATATCGTATATAGGATGTATTTTAATAGGATTTTTAATATATAATTGTATGTAAAATTTAAATGCTGTATCGGTAAAAAGCGTGATCATTTGTTCATAAGTCATTCATTTAACAGTTTCTTGAATGTCATGACATGCATCAGGCAATGCTATTTTGCATAAATATATATAATTATAACGTAGCCGGAGAAATAAATCCCGAAGAGTGCCAAGGATGTCTATTTTGTGATAGGAATTTTACGTGTCGCATTACATAACCCGGAATTAAAAATATTATCTGTTGTCATTATTATTACTATTATTATTATTATTTATGAGAATGAATAAAGATTTCCATAAAAATGTGAAATACTTGTTGCATCATAAATGTAGTTTTACGGTACAGATGACGGCCCAGCCACACTGATGTGGCAGCATTGGCTTGTGACAAAGTTGTTGTCTTTATCTAACGTTGTTACCAGAGGTAGTTGCACCGTTATCTTCTTTCATTTTATTTACTGAATACTTTCCAGTTGATTCCCGCGCCGCCTTCTTTTCATTTTTATCTCTACCTCATGCAATTTCAAGCAGCTTTCTTCTCGTTTACAGTACATTCCTCTGCTTAAGTATTATGAGGCATGTAAATTATTTCAGTTAATCCACAAAACATTTCACGTTCCTTATTCACACGTGGCTGTCATTTACTAACATTACAGACTACACGAGCCCACTAAGCATTTGGGGCATATGCGTGGCACCTGAGAGTCTACATGTACATATATGATGGTCGTTGCCCTCCCTTCAATTCTAACATAATTTTATGTTTGTTAATAATCAGCCTACACGATCTTTATATTTTTCTTGCACAAAGCTCACTTAAATACGTATAAATTTTGTTTCATTTCCAAAATATTTTCACCCTTTAGATAATATATCAACAGTTATAATGAAAATGATGTTGCTGCAGACCCAAACTTGTTAATTCAAAGTTAAATGACATTTTATAGTAAACTGTTGGAACCATCGGAGAAAGGATTCGGTACACATGTTAAGGTCAGAAATGATCCACTTTTATGTATAGGCACCAGGTCTGTATTTTTCCATAGGAAATACAAGAAAAAAACATTACCGTACGGTAAGAAAATTCTTTAATAACAAAGAAAATGATCGATGCTTGAAAGATTACCATGACCCATTATTTGGGCTATTAGCAATCATTGGTTTTCGTTAACAAAGGACCGCTATGTTATAGATTTTGAATGCAACGGTAAATAATTGGCTATGTTTTGCATGCTGTCGTAACAGAATAAAAGAAACTAGTCACATTTTATTGATATCTCGTATTTACTAATCGATTTTCAGTAGAATACGTATTTGTCACCATAAACAGACAGAAACACAGTGGAAAGAAAAATGGCGATCATATTTCGAAATTAAGGACTGGTTTATGTTGTTTTTTAATCCAATTTCATTAAGAAACTCCGAAATGTTGGTGCGTATTAGTAAGAAAGGAGATCATTCAATCATCGCTGATGACCATTGCAGGTAAGTGTATCTATGAAGGATACAGAATCTCACAAGTAAAAGATCGGCACGTCAATACGGCCCAACAGTCTACATGGCATCGTCATATTTTGGCAGATAGATGGGCATGCCTTTTGAACGAAATACTTTGTTACTAATCACTTAACAGACAATTTTACAGCCTGACAACATTTTTAGTTCTATAAACTATGTTTATGACGGTAACGGCGTTGAAGCAGCTGATCATACGTATTGAAAATATCTAAATCATACAAAGATGCATTTTTAGACTTTAAACGATCAAACAACCAAAACGGTTTGTTTATTATTATTGCTAAATTCATTGTTCGGCGAACAATCACTGAAAGTTGTAACAAATCAAACAAAAACTGGTTAAATTCACGATGTTTTTCAGATTAGGTACTCCACCCACCGAGACTCCACCGCCAAGGCCTCCGCCTACACCTCCTCCATTATCTCCGACAGACAGCATCGATGATTTGGCACAAACACCCAAGAATCTGCGTATTTCGTTATTTGAACTGAAGGACTTTGTTCAAAACCAAGAATTACTACAAGAAACCGAGGCGCCGTGCGTTACACCAGAAACACCATCGACACCGCCACCGATCATGAATTTCGACATCTTCAAAGATAACGTAGAAACCTCCCTTGAAAGGGACGTGAAAGTTACAAGAAAATCAATCAATCCTTTGGAGTTGTACCTGAAGAGCAACCCGAACTTATTATCAGATAAGAATTCAAAACGGAAAGAAAAACGATTCCGTTTCACCAAATTGGGTGCTGTAACCGCTGTGCCAGTACTTCCAGCGATAAACGCAAAAAACCCTCTACCTCAGCCGCCAACGATGAGGAGAAGTCCGCCACCGAGAATGCAAAGAGCTGGGAGCGACCCAGGCTATCGTCTTCCAAAAATGTCCCCAAAATACACCGACGGCTGTTCCTCAGGAGGGTCGTCTGCCAGAAGAGTCAGCAGTGTGGATATGGTTCATTTAAGTGGAGATCATGAAAATTACGACTTTGACGAGGAAGGTTTTTTGTTGACGAGTTCTGCTCCTGTTTCCAACTATAAACGTCTTTGGTGAACTGTAGGCCTACCCCAACTTCGACAAATGCAAGTAGGCAGACCAAAAGAGATAACGTTTTAACCAATTTAAGTTAGGGAACTTTTTATTTTTGGGACGGATATTTAATTATTGATTGGAAGTTCAAGGAGGGTTCATTGCGGAACAGAAATTACACAAAGGTTATCAGATCTCATTTAACTACCGACAGACTACTTTTCAAGGGTATTTTTAAATGCTGCAGCAATTGGGATGTAAATTAGGTCAATATACCCTGATTATAAGTTGCCTTAACTTTTCTATATTTGCATAGGCAACAGATCAATGAATTATGGTGCGTACAGTGTGTTTGTATATCAATTGATGGGCAAATCTGAACTAGACCAGTTGGACTGATCATATTGTTATATTGCGTTAGATGTGCTCGTAGATAACTTTTTAACACGCCCGCAGTCAAAACAATTAAATTGTATAAATTTTTCATTTAGGTCGAAGCTTGTTGCTTATGAAGCTTATTAGTTGCCGTTTCTGTATGTGCTTGCTAATTATAATGTGATGGCAGTTTCAATCAATGACGTAGAATGCAATAAATTGAAGATACACATAAAATGATCAATATTTATTTATAAATGCTTTTCCCATCAATATGTAAAGAAAAATTTAATAATAATTTCTATTATTAGAGCAAATCATAATTTTGTACACGTTTTGCGGGGCAATAAAATATTACTGATTTTAACTTGAAATTTATTCTTAAATATACGCAAAACAGATCAAAATAAGTATGTGTCAACTACCGGTGGTAAATTTAAGGGGAGGAATATCTAGTATAAACGTGTGTCTGAAGTTTTGGTACATCGACAATGACCGACGTCCAGCCTGGGAGAAAACCTTCATGAATATGAGCTAGGTTCACAGAGGCAGAATCAGTCGCGATAGAGGGCACTTGACAAACTTGCCAGTTTCAACTTTTCTTAACCAAAAATACGGAAAAGAGGGAAAACGTGACGTCCCTTTCTTTTCACCACTCCTCCCCCTTCCCCATGGCAAAATTCTGGGCCGGCCGGTATCAAAGTAAGAAGACTGATTACACAACTGTACTCTGGCTAAGTACCCAAATATGTCGTAAAAATCCTGAATATTATAATTCGTGTCACTCCACCTCTTTGTATCATTTCTATACAGCTACCCATGCAAATAAATAATGGTTCTTTTCTCCTTCTGCTATACGCACGTCTCTTTGGTAATAACTGGTATTTTCATTGAAGGTCCTGGACTACTGATGCTGACGCTGCTTATGCTACTCCTACCATCACAATGATCTGGAAGTATAAATACGTCGAGCGAAACAAATAAGTCATTTTCTGCACAAAAAACAGCTTTTAATTTTTTAGGCAAGGGATATGTTTTAATTTAATTTAAACAAAAAATGACTCTAATGAAGATATACACATTGCGGCAAGCAAATATAATAAAGCAATGATAATATCCATTGAAAAAAATTGCCCCTCAGGGCGATCTTTCATACTGAAATTATTCTTGTTCTAAAACTAAAGTAATCTAAAGCCATGTGCTAAACCATAGTCACGAAAATTTCAAGACTGGGTACGGACATTACGAAATCTTAGATCGGTAAATTGGGCTCTCATTTCTTTAGAAAACTCTAAAAGTAACCATATTTAAAGAAGCATTTGTTAAAAATTCATTACAGGTGAGCGCAAGTGGGCACACACCCACGCGTTTACGTGCGCCCATTCATACATGTACACACATAGCTGTGTATTGGTGCGAGCATTTGCATGCGTGTAGGCATGCGTGTGTGTGCAGGCATGCATGTATGATACTTACGCTCAGCATTTCTGCAGGCATTTGCATATCTCTGTAAGGCTGCCATGGCATCAACATGGTTGCCAGACAGGATCTGGTTCCGTATCTCCAGCAATGAAGAGGAATGTGTTATCAAGAGTGGTTGCTGAGTACTGTTCCTCTGGAATATTTTTTGCTGCACAGCATGGAGTTTGGCTGTAATATCCTTGCCAATTAACATTGAAAAGATTGTTTCAAGGAAGATGTGAGTTTTTAAGAAAGTTCTCAATGCTGCTGCATCCCACTGGAAGATGCAGCTGTCTTCTGTTGCTGTTATAGTGACCTAAAAATATATCACAAATACTTAATGTTGTTTAAGTAGTCATAAGTCTGCCGGATTGTGCAAACACAGAAACCCTTGTTCTCAAAATCCTTTCATGTGGCATAAATAATGTGACAGGTTAAAATGTGAATAAACCATATAACTGCATGCACTTTCAGAGTTTCTTTACAAAGTTGGTTTTAGTTTAACTGTAGAATCATTGCCTTTTTGTGTGGCAAACCCATTTGGAACAGCTCTAAATTAAATCTGATGTGAATAAAATTCCATATTTATTTCAGTAAGTCACTTTTATGTCACAACACAATTCTTGTAAGCCTTTGGCCTATTTGACTAAAGTAAAATGTTACACAGAGATGTTCATCAAATCTTTGCAAAAATCTCCAGAAAGATATGTACATAAAGATACTGCAGTATATGTATGGTATAATCTTTTCAAATCTAATTCCCTTCTTTTATTTTTTTAAAATCATAATAATGATCATTATTTCAATTTTTGCTGATTTTGTGATGAAAACCCAATAGGGTTGTTCAATTATGAGTTGTTCAGTTAGGACAAGGTCACAGTAATTAACTATTGATACCTAAGCTACCTGGAAATGTTTCTGTTTATCTATCACCTCTGGAGCACAAGCCTCAAACTCTGGACTATCTAAAAACTGGTGTGGATGGATAGGATGCAGTTCAAACTCTTCACAGGATACTGAGAATCTTGGAAAATAAACAAATTCTCTTTCAATCTCATTATGACAATTAAGTAAGTTCAAGTTGCTGAAATAGAACGAAATATGAGATATTTCAAATGAATGAAAAATATATTACTAGTATCATGGTCATCTCTACAATTTTGAGTGAGGTAATTTTTGCTTACAATTAATTACACAATTTGCTTTTGATGATCTACATGTACATGTGTAGCTGTGGGAAGTTTATTGTTTTCAGTGGGCAGATGGGAATTTTTCAAAGAAAATAAGAATACACTTGCCTTTTGTACAAGTATACATTATTACTATGAGGTGGTGTTTGGAGTAGAATGGGAGAGGGAGAGGACAAAAATTGAAAAGCAAATTCCTAACATTTTCCAGTGAGAAAGTTGCAGTTTTGAAGGTCACTTCTGCTTTTTATCAGACATTCAAAACATTTCAAATAAAATAATGCAGTTTTTTCTTCAAGGTGAACATCATTCAATTTGACACCTACCCTAATCTGCAATTTCCATGGGCTTAATAGCAGGCCATGATACCAATGCTTCTAGAAACCAGTCCTTAATAAGGAAATTGTTCCCAGGGAAGAAGCCCTCAACTCATTTCTGACAAATGAGGCAGCAATCCAATATTTTATCAGTTTTCTACTTAGGTAGGACACATTGGATTCCATATGTCACTTAGTAATATACAGACTCAACAATGACAAATGGACAAAGTCAGTGTCTGTTAAAAAACACATACTACGTAGAAGCAACTGAGTATAAGTGCATATTTCACTGTGCCTTTTTTGTGGGACCACATATAGAGGTACAGTGTAACATAAAATGTTGGGTTTTTGATATTAACAGAAGATATTTGTTTAAAAATAATGAAATTATGATGACTAAATCTTATGCACTAGGAAGGAATTTTTTCTGTGAAATATTTATCACTGACACCATGTCCATACATGTGTGTCTCTTTCAGGTCATTATCAATATTCACACTAGGAAAAAGTTATACTGTATGTGTACAATAGTAGCCTACCTTTTATAACAAAAACATTTTATAAAATTTTAATGTTGCAATTTCTAAAGCTAAAAAAGATTAATTTCTTTATAATCTTCTATTTAATTTTTTTATAACTTTTTATAACTTTTATAAGTTGCTTCTTTTATTACATACGGCTTATATATAGACCATGCAGGCACCTCTATGCTTTGAACCAAGATCAGAATGTACAAAATTAATATTCTTTGTAAAGATTTACATTACGTAAACAAAATATCACATATTTCATATTTCTCTGATAAACATATGTATGTGCAAACTTGACTCACACCATCAATCCAAATTTCACCCAGTGTAAACATGCTTCAAAAAAACATACCTTCCACTGACCACAATGGACAAATACTGACCACACACTGAGGCAGTCTCTTCTGCATAGGTTTCACCATCCTGGTATGTTCTAAGTTCCCCAAAAGATGTCAGTTCTCTAAAAGCAGCCCTAGGCACATGGTATGGCTTGAATAACTTTTGGTACAGTAAATCTAAGTCTGCATGGAAACCAGATGGATATAAAGTATAGGCAATGTAGATAAGATATGAGATGTTAACTAACATGAAGGATACATGCCAGAACATCACATCAATAAAACAGGATGCAAAAATGCTCCATAATGTTGTCAATAAACACGCCACTATAACCAAAGAGCGCATAAAAAGGCTATGATACTGGGAATTACTTGGTGCCAAAAATGACAGCACCAGAACCAGATTGGCTAATTGGAACATAATGTGATGTGATTCTGTGTAGTCTTTGCAATCGTCAATCACAGTCTGATTCACTGTTTCACTCCACATGGTATCACTGCTGTTACCTCCTTCATTGTTCTGATTCTGGGAAAGCATTGTGAAATTGCCAATATCCGAGTACATGTTCAAGAAGGTCAAAAATTTCATTCCCACTTATGTATTTGTTGTATGATTGAAAGTCCTCGTGCCCTATAAGTCTTTGATTGATTGTTCACTGATGTATCACTGTCTGTTTCAGGCTGACAGACTGCCGGCCTACAAATATATCTACCTCTGCATTATATTTTGTTTTGAAACTCTTTGTCCTGTACACTGTTGCTTTTTCAGAAACATAAAATTCAGATATGTTATTACAGGTATTACAAACCTCTGCACTTGGATATCTGGTCAGCTCCAGTGAGATTTGAAGATGTCAGCTGTGGCTTAATTTCTGAGAAATGCAACAGCTGCTTAGTAATAAATACTGCTGCCCACTGATTTGAATCTTCAATTTCCACTGACATGTGATGAGCCCATTGTGAATCCTGATTCCAAAGATTTATCTACTTTGAATGTGCTGAAGTCCAACTCCTTGAGCAAGTCTCAGTAACAGCCAAATGAAAATAACTGATACTTCTCACTTTCTGTCCAACATCTGCTCACTGGCAGTTATATTAAGTCCTGTCCACCCACTAGAAGAAAAACAGACCACAGACAAATTACCTTCAGTACTTGTTTCTTTTCCAATATTTTTGTTTACAGCCCTGCTGAGAACTCATCATTCAGTTGAGAGGCTTCACAGTGACAAAAATAAAATTGTGATCAAGTGATGTAGTCATGATGCATATTCCATCATATGACAGGCCCAAGCTCACACAAAGTATGTTTCTGAAAAGAGAAAAAAATGAAAGTGAAGTCAAAGACTGTAAGAAATACCTCAGATTAAAAATTCAAAACCCTCAGCTACATACTTCAACAAATCTGTTAAAAGTTTCCTAACATGCACTTCACAGTCATGCATTACAAAATCTATGATATGCCTGTGCATGCATATACTCAAATATATATAGTGTAACTCAACTCTCTTTTGCCGAACAAACAATCAGATATATTAAAACAATTGGAATGCACATTTCCAAATTGAATCCATTGTAATCTTCATAATTTTGATCATAAAAGCCAAGTTAATGCTGCATGAATGCTGCATGAATCATTGCCCTTTTTGCCTGTTAGAGATGAAAAAGCCCATAAAATAAGCAATGACAGCACTTCTACAAATTGGTTTTGGATATAAAGACTATTTTCCATTAGTTATGAAGGCCACATAGTCTGGCATAAAAACTCACAACATGTAATGGGTGTGGCCAAATACATGTACTTTGTGCAAGTGGCTTACATGGTAAAATGGACCTTGCATCATGCCGAATGCCACACACACACACACACACACACACACACACACACTATGCATGCTAACAGCTGGCTCACTATGTACCCTATCCCTAACAGATATATCTTCTATATGGGGATGAATTAATCTACAGTTTTCAAAAGTTTAAATGTATCTTCATCAGGAAAACTTCCCCCAGGTATCTTTTGTACTGGGATGATTTGACCATGAAAAACCATGAATAAGTCAAAAAGTGAATGATACCTCTGTATGACCAGAGGCACGTACATGTACGTTCAAGGTACCTATGTATTTCACATGCATTCTTACCTTCCTTAGTAGCCATCAATTTTAAATTTTTCTTCAATTAATATACTAAAATTCTGTACCAATTCACTGGGGGAAATCTTGTGGATATGTGAACCTGATCCACTTACATTTAAAATGACAATACAAGTGCAGTTTTCAGGCAAGCATTTATGAAAAAAAAACATTTGGCTAAAAACTGTGTATGAGTGATGTCCATTAACAGTCCCTGGGGATAAAATAATCCATGCTTTAAAAACATTTCATGGCTTTCATCTGATGACACAGAGGTGCAGATGTAGCCACTTAACACAGAAAGCAGTTGATTGGGTTTTTTTCAAGCAGGGCCAAATGGTTGAACCGGGAGGGGGGTATTAGTAGAATTTTCATTCTTAAAAAATTAAAGAAATTAAGGAGAATTAAAGGGTGGGTCAGCAAGCCCATGTATCTAGCTGGTCCTTTTGCTTACATTGTATGGAGCATAATGCAAAGTTAACTTTACCCTGGTAGTTAAAATGAAAAAAAAAAAAAATATTGCAAAATATGTACAACTAAGGAAGAAGTTGTACAAATTATCCATCAATTTTTTAAAATAAGCTCATTTTTTCCTTAGTTTCCTGAGTAAAAAAACTAATCTGAAAAACTTGAATGTAATTGTATTTGTTGATTTTATTAATGAATTGTCAATGCACACAACTGCACAGCATTAAGCTGAATGCTGACAATTTATTGGAATAATACATTTCCTGAAAGTATATGGTGTGATTTCCTGGCAAGTTAAATGTCACAATCTCAGTCATTTTAAAAACTCACAGAGACAGTGATTTCTCTCAAGGCATAAAGGAAATGAAAGAAGATGATTTGCAAGTAACCTCAGCTACTGTATCTGCGTAGGCTGCTATCCTGCCTGGCAGATAAAGCCAGTTGAAGTTAAAAGATAGAGCACATAATCCCTTGTAGATAGATGGCTTACATAATATTTAGAAAAATGTCACTGCAGCTGGTGCATAAAGGTAAAAAGGTAGGTGTGCATGGTGCTACTAGTACATGCACATGTACACCTAATCTGCATATACCAGGGTACATGAAGTTAGAGGTATAAATGTATTCCTCAAAATTATGTAACTTTTAAAACAGACTTAAAACAGGTTTTAGATCTGAAATAATCAGAACTACATCTACATCATATATACTAATTTTTCCTTTAAATATCTGCCAAAGGTCTCTGGGATATAGGATATGAATATATGATTATTCAGGGGCGGATCCAGGATTATTTGAAGGGTGGGGGTTTGGAACGACAGGGGCCGATGTGGGCCGACCATAGCCCCCTTGTTGTGGGGTTTGGGGCCTGCCCAAGGGCCCTGAAAATTTTTTGGTGTTTTGGAGAGCAAACAATGTCCTTTGGTACAGTTTAGAACTATGGTTAAGCTAATGAAAGTTCTAATATCAAGAGGGGAATGTTGGTGTGATGTATTTTTCAGAAACCGAAGGGGGGGTTAGGACCCCCCTGACCCTCCCCCCCTCTCTAAATTCGCCACTATTTTTAAATAACAGTTTTATCCACCAAGTAGATTCAGGTACCTATAAGTTTTCTCATGAAAAAAATTAGTCAAATTGGAAATACATGAAAAGATACCCAATGAGATGACAGTTAAACTCCCTCCTATTTTTTATCCCACCTACACCTACTAGTATGAGGTTTCTTCTTCAAATACTGAAGCACAAGCAGTGCAATCAAAGCAGCATTTGAAGACTTGGATTGTCATGCACAGATTTGCAATAATATAATATCAATACTTATAACCTACTCAGAGAGAGAATTTTCATAATCAAAATTTTATTTGTAGTAACAATCACCAAATCATCATAAATAAAGATTTTTAAAAATATTCTATAAGTATTAGAAGTATCTTAAGCTGTCTTATCCATTTTTTTACCTGCATCTTTGTACACAACTTCATACATCCATCTCCTGATTAAATTTAAATTTTGCTCATCATACTTGGCTCCAAAAACAGTTGCTAATTTTTCAGTCACTTTGCTCATGCAGTGCCTTCTTGAAGAAAACATGCCGAGTTGATAATAAAAGCTGTCAGAGAAACAGTTCTATGGATTCATGAAAACATTTAAGGAGCTGTCCCAGGAGCTCAATCTTGTTTGCAGGTCAGACCAAAAAAATCAATCAAAATATTCTGGATCATTGCAGACACACAAGGGAAACAATATTAAAAACAGAAGTATTCATACTGTGACACTTATTCTTGTAGGCAGTATCATTTGCATTGTCTGCCTATTATCACAGCTGTGGTGTAGAGAAAATGAAAATCCTATGATCAGATTTTTTTAAAATATTTGTTACATCTAGCAAAGGTTACAGACTTTTTTGATAACACCATTTTTGCTCTAGTAGTATATTACAATATTATTTTAGCATGTTATCATTCTTTTTTACTTTCTGTGATGATTTTCCCTAGGTGATAAATACATGTGCAGTACTAATTTTAATTAAAAGTCAGAAGCCCCTGTTCCCAGAACTGTTATAATTTCTATCATTTAAAAGTACCCAGTGAAACATTTTCAGGTTATCAGGTTATTTTTGATGACAAGAATTCATGCCACTTATCTGTTAAAATATTATCAAAAAGTATTACGTACTTATCTTTAGGAAAGTTTGAAAGAAAGTGGTTTACATGTATGTACTTAATGTGTTTAAAATCTTTCGATTTGTCCTTTTGATTTTCCTGATTGATCAGCTGCAGTAACAGCTTTTTTGGCAGTATCATATAAATAGACAATTGGCTTCATATTAACAAGAATTACACTTAACAAAACGATCCAGAAAAATAGGTTGTATTTAATATTTAGAAAGTATATTATTCAAGTACAGGTAACTCAGCATGATGAAACTAAACAAGACCTTGAATATAAATTTAGTCACAGGCAATTAATACATAAATTGTGATCTATAGGAGCATTAAAGAGTCACATAGTTCAATGTCATTTACTTATATCATCAAAAAGCATCTATCACTGCAGATGAGCACTTTCTGATTTAAAGGTATTTAAAGAGAAATTGATTTCAATACATTATTTCAATAAGTAAAAATTGAACATATTAACTGGTTTTTTATTCCCCATTAACCTAGAGATAACATGTTAAATGCCATCTGAATGTGCATCGTACAACATGCACACACAGGTCACCGGGTGAACATCTATCAAAGAAAAATACACTAACTTATCAAGCCACACAGAAGCAAGGCAGTTATGCATGCAATGCTGTTTGAACAGCAGTGCTAAATGATACAGATTAATTGATCTTTAAAGGAGAATCATGTTTACACAATAAGGCCATTTTCACATTGAGTGGTATACTTCACTGGTCCAGTGGGAGGCAGTCCACTTTGACAGGTTGTAACATGCATTTATGCCACATGAGGTCTTATTTCTTTTCATAACTTCTCCACAGGTTTGCTTCCTGTTGTTTGGTCATTCCGAGCTCTGTTTAGGTGACTCTCTTACATAGTAGCCAAGCTATAAGTTGCCATATACAGACAAACAGATATGAAAAAAAAATAATGATATAAACAATTAAGACTTGCCCTGTGACAAAATTAATGACATATATATAGCTGAACTAAGCTGAAGTGCAGAACCATAAAAAAGCCTTATCAAAAACCTACTGTGGGTATATGGCCTGCCTAATTGAGCAGATTTCAACACATCTACAATAATAGATAATATACTTCAGTTAATTATTTATTTCCATAAACATATTATATATGATGCATGCACTATGAAAATTTTACATACCCATCTGCACATACAGTATTCTGTTTACAGTAATATAATAATTCTCAACAGAACCACAGCAATATCTGAGAACCAAATTGCATTGGCTTTCCTCTTGAGGAACATGTAGTATGTATTTAAAACCATGGAGCCAAATCACTTGAACAGACTTACATACACAAACTGTATATTATGGTCCATTACAGCACATATTATCTGCAAAATGTCACATTGAATGAACTGATGCAGGGTATATGCCATTTAAACAGCACTTACAGGGCTAAAGGTTACTTAGGGCATAATCCAAAAACTCCAGGCACATCAGGCGTGTGCTTTGAATGCATGCAACTGTATGATTGCACTTCAGGGCACTCGCTACCTTTTAATTTTTCCTTTTTACACAGAATCCAGAGACAAAACCCATTGTTTAAAACAAGCCTGCAGCATTGCATAACAAAGTACAATGTTCACTTCATGCACATGTGCGCATGCATGATTAGTGCTAAATTTCAAAAAACAACCACTACCACATGCTACCACCTGCTAGAATTAACATTATGGACAAACATTTTAACACACTATTTGTTATTCAATTAGAAAGTAGTTATGGCATCATTTTGCCTGTTCAATATCAAAAATCATCATTGTTACTATTGATCACTACGTAATGCAAAAGTGTAAATTGATATCTATTTTAATTTAATATTTCTTTGCTTCCTTTCTGATCATCTCAAACTACAGTAAGTGTATAAAATCTAGAATGAATCATTTACTTTTATATCCAATCATTCATTCATTAGTTTCTTTAATAAACAAGGTAACAAACCTGCCAAATGTACAGACCTAAAGCATAAAACAATGATGAAAGTGCACAAAGTAGGTTTTTTGTTGATTTTGATGCAATATTATATTGATACCGGTAAGTACTATTTGTTTGGATATTTTTATTACTCAACATTATTTAATGTTATATAATTATTTAACACCATTAAAGGACCTTTCAATAAAAGTGGTTGTCACCAATTTTCTAACACCATACTTTTGTGTGTCCTTAGCTTTAGCTTTCATTTGCATTAATGAAAGATTATTCACAACCAAATGTGAAATATTAAAATTTTTGTAGATCCTTCAACATGACAGAAAACTACAAAGGGAATGGCTGATCAAAATTGCATAATGCTAAAACACCAATAAGTCATAGTATAGTATAATATAATATAATATAATATAATATAATATAATATAATATAATATAATATAATATAATATAATATAATATAATATAATAAAGAACATCAGGAGCACAAACTCATAAATTGATTTAAAACTGAAATGAGTAAGGTTGGGCACATAGAATTACATGATGCAAAAGCACTAGCTTTTTTATTAGTTTGTTAGCTGAAAATATCAGAGTATCAGGTGAAATATTGAAAATCATCCGGTTAAGGTAACTGAAAGCTGCATATACATGCAAAGGTGAAAGGCTTATAAAAGCTCTTTGTGTGTGTGTGTGTGTGTGTGTGTGTGTGAGAGAGAGAGAGAGAAAGAGAGAGAGAGAGACTGTACATAAAAAAGTAAATTTAAAAAAATCAAGGCCATGAAGGTTGAAAAATGATGATTCCCCCTTTAATTGGGGTTGGGGTGGGGGGGGGGGGAGGTAAACCATTCAACTGGAGCCAGCTTTTATCAGGCTGAATGATATAGTGGAACCTCTCTTTTGTCTGCAAGTCATGGTTACTCTAGGCAGATCACACTTCAGAAAGTTTACAACACTGTTTAAAAATCAATGAAAGTGGGAATTTTAAAATTTTTAACGAAAACTCAGTGATTGCTGACAAGGCCTAAGTAGCAGGTGTGATGTTTATCTGTCTTCTAAGAATCCATTGTGTTTTGATAGGAAAAATGCCATAAGCATTTAAATTCTCAAGAGAGTGGTTAAGATAAAGTAGAAATGATATAGAATGTTATTCTAGGTATCTATCAGTGTTCCTGATGCAAAATGGTTGGATGATATGACTAATAGCCAATTTATTACACTACACGTAAAGATTCTATGCCAAAAATGCCTCAAGAGAGAAAACAGCATCAGCTAATTTCTAAGAATGAGAGAGGACTTAAACCCTATACTTCCCACATTGTATCATAATACATTTATCTATATCAAAAGTTCTGTCAGTTCTACTTAATCAGTCAGACCTCTTAACAGTACACCAATATTGGTCTGCTACACATGTGCATGTAAAACAACAGAACAATTTTGACTATTTTATTCAAATAAATTCAAATTAAAGCAAATAATTTATAAAAATTCTAAATAAAATTTATCATTTTTTAAGTAGCTCATAAAAATTGACCACCCTGTATAAATGTGCATGATTTGCTTTTCAGAACTTTCAAATCTTGAAATAAACCATCATGACCAATGAAATAATCATCAATTTTGTTGGAATCTAGTGTATTATTGTAGCCAAATTATAACAAGACCACATCACATAAGCATTAATTTTATCTTTAATTCTGATAATTATGCCCATTCCATTAAAAAATGAACATGTGCTGCTGAATTCACATTCAATATCATAACAAAATAGTATGGACCTGGTGCATATAAGGTGTGTTAATTAAACCCACTCTCTCCAGTGACTTTATTTAAAGCAGTCACTCTGGTTGAGGTCATTTAATTACCTCTCCTAACTATAATGTCTAGCTGCCAATTCACCTACCAAAAGTCAGTTTCTGATAAACAATGGTCTCGGCTCACTTAGTACATAATAGTTTTAACACATTCTTTTAATTGATCCATTGACAGACTTCCTGCATAATGCCAAATAATCGACTTTCTTCTTCTTGCATTGTGAAGGTACAGTCACATAAAAAATGACTATATAAACTGTCAACCCAACAGCAAGAAATACAGACATGGGAAACCTTACAATACTTGGTTTTACAATATAACAAAAAAGTAGATCTTCCTCGATTTTATATAACAATACATCTTAATTCATATACATACATGTATACATATATATAAGTTATTGTTATCTAATAGTTTATCTGAAAGAATCCAGTTTCAGAGAACTAAGAGTGCCTCACCTACCTGGTGTATGTTTCCAATCACCACCTGCAGGATGGCACAGGTTATAAACAGGTGAGTTTTTGACAAAACTCTGAAACCCCAGTTTGTACCAGGGCAGGTATTCAATCTTTTCTGTACAATCTCATCTGTGATGCCCATTAAGGCTTGCATTTCTGCATGGAAAGTCCTAACATGTTAGACTACCCTGCATGTATACAATATATCTCACTTCCCAGGATTCAATATCATTTTGAGTTTCAGTGCAGCAGCTGACAGAGGCTTACCTTTCTAGTGTCTGTATATACTGCTACAGTGCATTTGCTTACATCATTGTGTTTCTGCAACTACTTGAAACCAAATGGTATACTGTATGCTGACTACAGAAGAGAGGTGGAATTCCAGAAGACACTGAAACTCAGGGTAAAATGAAATGGGAGAGATTGTTCAAATAATATTTAATAAAATAAATCAACCATATGGAATATGTTGCTGGATGAACAACTTTGATTTAATTCAGGGCCAGCTAGACAGCATCTCCATTAGCTAGCTAGAATACACCAACAATAAGGCACAATACAAAATATAGTACCAAAAGGATCAATTTTGCTGCAGTTATTATAATATTTGCTCTACACTTTTTTTTCTAAAACAGAGCATGTCTGCAAAATTGCTTTTAATAATTAGTCAGAAATGAACAAAACCCATTGCACTTGAAGCCTCTCAAACTGTCTGTATCTCTATGTCAACTAAAACAATTTATCTGACACACAATACTAGACTAACCTGCATATCAACTTCAAAAATCTTTGATGTATAGGGAAAATCCTATAGTTTGTCTCTGGGCTGTCTCTTATAACAGCCAAGCCTATAAAATTAATGTAATCAGCAACACAGAGCTCTATACAAAATCAATATAACATTTATTGCTAACATGCACATTTCATAAAATATACAAGGTACTGTGTGTGCCATTCAGAGGTTCCAACAGACTCTTAATGCAATTATAATCATGTGCAAGTAATAGGATTTATGTTCTTCTCATTCCAAAAATGCAATCACTATGAACAATGAAAAGTAATTGCAACATTAACTTTTCTTGGAACAAGTAGGTTCTTTATTTTGTTTACTTAAGCAGAAAACATATCTAAATTGATTTTTTCTAAAGCAAGCAGCTTTTATTTTAGTCTGTACCTAACTCATTAATATGGAAGTCAGTGGGACAAGTATTTTTTTTTTCTATCAGCCAGGAGTTTTTGAACGTTGGTATAAATTTTTTAAAGAAAAATGCATCAAATCTGAATTTATTTCTTAGTTTTTTTTAAACTTGGTCTAATGGATTGGCAAATACATTTCATTGACCTATGTTATCAAATTTCCACAAGATTTTTGCTTCCACATTCAAGTGGGTTGTTGAACCTGGAGTTGATAGTCTGAGAACAAACCAACTGTTCATTTGATGTTGAATATGGTGTGACAGCCTCAATATCTATAAATGTCCTTTTTTAGCAAATAAGTATCAAATGCAATGTCCATGAAAATATCTTATTACATTTAATGAAAGGACATTTATTTCAGTGATTAATCCAATATCTTATTTTCATCATAATTTTGTGCAAATCACGCACAAAATAATACAAATTACTATTACATTACTTAACATGTACAAGTGTATCATGTACAAAATAAAATATCAACAAATCAATTTATTTGAGATGGATTTTCTATGTAGGGAAAATATAAGCTTAAAAACACTTGTTCAGGGTTTTAATGTGCTTCATCAAAAAATCAGATATATACATGAATCTATAATTGAATAAAAGGACATCCTTACATTACAAACTGAATTTTTAATTCTAATCAGAAAAAGTGTTTTGCTTTTTTTTTTCACATATTGGTACATTGTACAGGTGCTCTGCACCTTTGTTACCATAGCCTGTTGGTATGGGTGGGCATATAGATTGATAACTATGACCAACTTCCTGCTAAGTTGTTGATGTCAGCATATCCCCAACACATCCTAGCACCTCCTTGGCCATGGGTGTTGTTCAAATAAGTGTATGTATAGATAACCTGTCAATCAACTCAAAAACAAAAGTGGCACACTTTAACACTATCATGGGTAACTAGGTAACATAACATAAGAATAACATAAATGTTTTTTTTTCTGAAAATGCCTTAGAGATTGTGAGAATTAAAAGAGAACAAGTTGTCTACCACTAAATTTGCAGTTGTGCCCAAACAACCCATTTCAACAGATTTCCACTGATCATGTCTTTAAACCATTGTAGATTGTAGATAGACAATAATTACTCCCTATGTCTTCATTTACTGTCCTTTTTATTTTGATCAGCACAATAATTGCAATGCTTGTTAAAATATATATGACCCACAATAAGGTATCTTATTGTTAATTGAACTCTCTATTACTTTTTTGGCAAAGTTACTGACACTGAAAGTGAAAACTCCATCATAACTTTGCCTCAAGTATAATTAGACATTTCAATACATAGGCCATAAAATAAACAAAAAAGAAAGGAAAACACTAGTATCACTACTGAAAAAATATGCGATGAATGAACATGAAGCCATTGGAATACTTCACTGAATCAAATCATAAACATACTATACTTTAATCACCCACCTTTTAGCTTTCTGATCTCAGCTTCTGGCACTACATTTAACTTTCAAGATACCACAAAAGTCGTACAGCCCCGACATGCACAAGGAACACAACTCTTACATCTCCTCCATCCCAAGAATTATTGAATTTACCACCAAATGCATGACTAAACAACAGATTTTTATTTCTACAATATCTACAAACACTAGCGTGCATCTCCCATGTTAGAGCAATGCAAAATACTTAGTGTACACTGTATTTTATCATTCTCACACTCTATCTACTTTAATTATCAAATAATGCAATTTAATTTTCCATTCTAATAGACAAACGTGATCAGATGTCCCAGAAGTCAGATATCCACTTGGGCATATTAATAGATCGCAGATGATGAATACATTCTACATCAAGGATGCCATGGTCTTACATGTAACTTTGATATCTTAGAGGTTGGGGGAGATAAAGATTAGTAAGGTGACCTGTCTGTTACTTCACTAGGCCTGATCCCCAGAGAACAAAAGAAACTACAAATCATTTATTTATACTATCTTTCTTCAATTTTTTTGCACAATAAAGCAGACTAACATCACTTTACAGCCAGCAAATTCAAAGGAAGGGGTTCTTTTTATGAAAAAATGGACCTTTGACCATGAAATCTACATGTACCTTAATCAATTTTTATCCAGAGTGGACCTTTTTCCAGCAAAAAGGACGGTTCATTCAAACATCTTGAACCCCTCCTGGCTACATGTCTGCTATATTGATTTGTTCTACTTTAAACTTTCAAGAGTCATATGATGTAACGTTTGTCAAAAGAGCATGTCAGTTGACTGCATCATATAGTTTAGAGAACATATAGCATGTGGTCTAGTAAGTGGCTTTTGGCCAATTGCATTTCACTTTCATTTCACAGAAATTTAATTGCTTTATTTAAAGGTACTGGGTACATGCTGTAAATTTGATTTGGCAGGAAGATCCCAGATCAGATACCTTTAATCTGAGATCTGTCACCAATGTAAATGAGGTGAGACACTTACTACTAGACAGAGATCTAATAGTGAGTGCAGTCTGCTGATCAAGATGAAGTGTACTGTAGTATATTCTTGCAGGGGCCATTCCAGGATTATTTGAAGGGGGGGAGGGGGGGATTGTAACTAAGATCCAACCACCACGATTTTCTAGGACAATGCCATTTAACAGGCCTCAGATACGAAGCCAACTATCACCCCCTTGGTGTGGGGTTTGGGGCCTGCTCAAGGGCCCCAAAATTTTTTTGGTGTTTTGGAGAGCAACAGTGCCCTTTGGTATGGTTTAGAACTATGATTTAGCTAGTCAAAATTCTAAGAGAGGGACATTGGTGTGATATATTTTTCAGAAACTGGAGGGGGGGGTCAGGACCCCCCTGAACCCCCCCTCTAAATCCACCACTGTTCTTGTACATTGAACAGCATCAAGTCAAGCTGTTGAAATTATGCAGTTTGGGTAGAAATGTTCACTTTTGAGAAGAGCAGATGTGGATTTTTAGTAAGAATGATTGTTGATAATATAATGAAAGTGTAATGTAACACTGCCTCATTTTCGTTGGCAGCTCTGTGATCCACGAGGATCAACAGCTAGGAAAATGGAAGAGTAGTGGCTCAACTGACAAACCCCTTAATCCCACACATCATCAGTCTTGATGAACACAAGAGCAGTACCTATATAGTTAATATTTACAGAATCCTAATTTTGCCTTTAATGTTATTGTTTCAAATTTATCTAAGGTCTCTGGAGTATCTTCCCCAACTTACAAAATACCAGTATGTTTTCTAAGATGATAATATATTAAAAAGAAAACTCTATACTTCTTTAAATCAAATTGTGACAAAATATTAGGACCAAAAATTCTTACAGTGCTCAGGTTCATTTTTAAATTGGAAAATGCATATGGTTCTTAACATCTCTTGCATAAAAGAATGAAATGGGTGTACCATGTACAAATGTATATATATATGTATTGAAAGGCTGTCCACCTATCAAAAAAAAAAAAAAAAAAAAAAAAAAAAAAAACATACAAAATTTTGGTAGAATTTTCAAATTTTAATAATATATTTAGGATGATATATGTCCGTCCTTTCTAAAGACATATTATGAAAAAAAGAACTTTCCACTCATCAGATGTTTAGTTAGTCGTTTTTTCTTCATATTCTCAAATTATTTGCATTTAGATATTCACCAACCTGATAAATGTCAAAGATTTAATACATGTTCTTACACCATACAAATCTAATGCCAATTGTTTCATACAAAGAAGGAAGACTGAGATTATCTGCACTATCATCACCAACTCTGTAGTTCCAGGTTGAGCATAAATTTTTGAGAGAGATTTTATACATGAGCCTTATCGATCTATCATTCCCTTAATTGTTCATCAAATATTAACTAGGGATGCTGTTGTAGTTATCAAGCCTCAGAGAACAATTTTTGATCTTAATCAAATTGAGTAGATGCTTAATTGAGTTGCATATCACAATTTTTAACCTCTGGTATTTTATGTCTGAAACATGGAAATAAATCCGAAAGAAAAAAAAACAAATTTTAATAAATAAATCCCTCGTCTTACAAAACTGAAGTTCTTGTTTATCTAGGGCTTATTCAAGTGACATAAAGTAGCATTTTACAAATGGAAATGTTTCTCAATTAAACCCTGGGAAATATTGATCATAACTCAGACACTTTATCACACTTATAGTTTTCAAACATAAAATCATCTCTATTTTTAGAACATTTACACTCTTTACATAAAGGATTGAGTAATTTTCCATGAAATAACAGACTTCCTAACGTAATCATTGTTAATTAGTATTGCAAATGTTGATATAACCTAAGAAAAATTCTCTCTTTAGTAATACAGAGTTGTACATTTTTTCTGTGTGAAATGAGAGTGGGTATGGTCACATGTGTAAGACATACCCTACATGTACAACATATTAAAATGTTTTACATGTAGTTCATATACCCCAACAGGACAGCTGGCTGTTTCACTCTTCCTTATTTGTCTTTTTTATAATGATAAGCCCCCTCCCCATTAGTTGACACCCTTTAAGCGCGCTGTATGGTTAATTTTCATTATTTTAATCCCATTACTCCTGTATGCTTGTATTTTTTAAGATGATGAATCTCACTAATCTAGACATTTAGATATGGCTTTCTTTTATGCAAAGATGAATCTCTGCCTTACTACCAAAATAGGCAATCTGATTAAATGCAGTCAGTCCTTTATCTATAGTTTCCTATCTAATGCAGGTAATTAGATACATCAATGAGATTGCACCACAGTATTCTGTGTACACAGAGTGCATTTAAGGAAAAACAACTGGGTGGTTTATGATAAAGCTATGATCCATCAAATTTATGTGTATCCATAAAAATACCTTTTATACTTGGTACAATCTCTCCCTGGTGCCCACTTTGAAGCTTATAACATGGCTACAGAATAAAAATAAATGAATTCCACCTACGTGTAGCTTATCTGTCAGCTTTCTAGTTGCTTCAAGTAAACACGAGGTGGCTGACTATGGACCTTTTAAGAACGGTTCCTTGTGCATACACTGTACATCAGATGTTAACCAAAGGGAGAGTACTAATAAACCATGTCTGGTCTGGAAAAGGATTTCAGACTCAGGGGGTTTATTACATGTACAAAAGGTCCAATAGTCCGATGGCTCATTGGTCTGAAGATTCATTGGTCCAAATATTTTTATGCTTGTTCAAAGATTTTTGGGTCCAAAAACTACATGATAAATGTTCTCAAAAATGAGAGCACAAATGAATGGCTCAATGTTGTTACAGGTTGCACCATGCAGTACATGTGTTACTACATATATGTGTCATAAAGTAAATTTTCAAGCACTGAATTGATGGTTCTGATTCAGACCAATGAACCTGTAAACCAATTTCCTTCCATTTTCAACCATTTTCAAATCAATGAACCCTCAGACTTTTGAACACTTGAACCCCATTTAATCTAACTATTGAGATAAGCACATGCAGATTCAGATGTATCCACCTTATTCGTGAGATAAAGGTATTTTGCAACAAAATTCAAGATACAAAGAAACCTTTAAATTATTGGCATTGAACCTAATATCATATACTGATGTACTAGTACACAGATTTGCATGCATACTCATACTTGAACCCAAATTTGTTCATAACAAATGTGTCTTAACTTTATTCTTGTCCTTCATCACCTACCAGCATGTCCATCATGGTAAGAATTATATATGTGTGTGTGTGTGTGTGTGTGTGTGTGTGTGTGTGTGTGTGAAGTATCAAAAGAACAATTGCAACTTGGCCTAATAGTAATGGTTTATTGAAGTCACATTGATGTCTTTTCTCTGATTGAGTCATACATGTACATGTAACTATGTTGGAAAGTAATCTATAACATTTGTACGTGCTCACCTGAATAAAGGCATGGTCCTTTTTTATAATTATAAAAAACATTGTGTGTACACATTCAGGACATTTTGGCAGCCAAATACCTTTAAATAAACACGCAAAAAACAAAACAAAAATAAACAAGTCATTAAAAGAGAGTACCATATAATAACATGCGACTAAAGTGATTTCCACCTTCCTTAATTCAGACTTAAGGTAAACATAACAAAATGTCAGTAGACAGACGATATTCAATTTCCTACCTCTTGCTCCCCGGTAAACTAACACATTCAGATGCTGAAATAACCACTTAGTGTACATAACTACATTAATACGGTGAAAAAACAAACAAGGAAAAGGAGCAGCTGGTAAATTATGGGGGCATGTTCTACGTTTCCAGTACTAGTACCTGACTTTGCCTTTTTTACTTTGAATTAAACAAAAAAAAGCCTAATGAACGTGTTTGTTAGCACAGGACTGTATTAATGTAGGTTAATTTTAATAACCTTGCAATACCACTTTCTTCTGAAGTGAAGATTGAAGTACCCAGTATTTATAATTCCTTGTCGTGTAAATATACCTTTGGCTATTTCCTACCTTTGAGAGAAACTCAGGATGCAACTGTTCAACAGCTGTGTTACAGATCATTATTTTGTCGCAAATTAAGGTGTGAGGTAGACCAAGTACCTTTTGTTTTAAAAAAATGGTCAGAGCACTCTAGATCTGTGAATGATTGCCAATTTAGTGTGAACAAGCCACTTATTTGTAATACATAGAGAGAGGTACTAGTATAAATAAAAAAATCCAAATTTTATAAAATCTGCTGACAAACCATCCCATATACTGGACCACTGCCAGTACAATTTTGGTTTCAAACAAAAAGTCAAAAGTTTTCATAATTCACACGATACCAATGTTAAGCTGGAAA